ATATTTATTTATTAATAAGTACTTACTTCTTTGTTGCACTGTTCTTTGCTCTTTTCGCAAGCTTTGAATGCAATTTTGTTGGCTTTGTCCATCACACATTTCAAGAAGCAACTGGTCTAGAGAGTATGCAAGAAAAAATTCCATACAATAGACCATTTCACGGATCCCGTTACTCAACTTCAGCCTCGTCAGCGTGTAATATATTCTTTAAAAATTGCCTACAACCTGTGAAATTTTTAAGTGTTTCAATTGTTCGTTGATGTGTAAATTCCTTTCATTACTGCGGACTGTAGTAAAATCCTAAAGAATAATTACACGCTGACGAGGCTGAAGTTGAGTAACACAAAAAGAAAGTGATGCATGTCCGCAACTACGCAGTACAATGTTTTTATTAATGACAGTTCACCGAGGCAGTTGTGTTTTTTCTTATCGCTTTCGTAGCGTCTGTTATGCTAACCACAAGTGAATTTCAAATCGTCCACATGAGGCCAATGTTGTACCACGTGGACGACTTTTTTAAACAACGTGTTAAAAACCTGACTGCACTTCGGTCACGAGGTGCCAAATACTTGTCCAATTGGTAACAAACATTGATATCACGTGGTCGATTTGAAATGTAGAGTATACTAGCTAGTATTTTGGGTATTGTATCCCCGGCAGTATAATGATTGGAAGAGACTGCATGGAGCTGGATCAAGGAATTAGATTTTTGTTGATGGTATGTGCACACAACGGTAATAATAATAAAATGCTAATATAAGAAATATATGTTATTTACCGTCCTATAGTCGGTCCGGATAGGGAAAAACTGTGCCCTCGGTCTTAAATATACGGACCGAGGCCGTTAGGCCGAGGTCCGTTTTCAAGACCGAGGGCACAGTTTTTCCCTATCCGGACCGACTATAGGACGGTAAATAACTTATCTATTTTCCCGTAACTTAACTTATTTTTTTCCCGTATTTTTTTACTTGTTTTTGTGTTGTCGTTTAGCGGCAAAGGATACCGGACCGCGCGCGCGGGCCGATACTTACAAAATACCGCCCGCTCAAACAGCCAATCAGAACGCACGATTTTTTAGGATACCGGACCGGAAAAAAATAATAGTTATCATGTTGGTAACGCTGATGTTGATGATGATGTTTATTTCAACTGATCATAATAATGATAATGGTGACGAGTCTGATGAATGAAGACGATGTTGAAGATGATAATGGTGATGATGATGATGATAATGGTAATGATGATGATGATAATGATGGTAGTGATAATGATACACGATGATAGTGATGATGATGATGATCAACATAGTGATGATGGTAATGATGATACCATACTATATTAATAAACATGCTCTTACCTTCCATGTCAAGCAACCACAGATCCATAGCTTACAACTTACAAGTTTTCTAAAACATCCCTGAGTTAATAAATGCAAAAGTATGTTTTACAATAACTTTTAAATTTCTCGCGCGCTGATTGGTTATTTTTTATCATCAATAAGAGGACATGGCAGACATGAGATAAAGCCGACGTCAACGAGCGCGCGCTCGGCTACGCCTCGTGGATCCACACTACTTTGACAATGTGATGACGCACTTTATCGTCAATAAGAGGACAGACACATAAAAAACTGATCTCTATTTGTTAAATAGATAAAAGCAAAGGAAAAAGTTGTCATACATTTGATAGCTTTTGATCACTTTTCTGCATTGCTTTTTGTCGCTAGCATCCATGTCTTCCATTTCTATGAAGCTGCTTAAATATTTAGCTTGAACCACAGCAACCACGAATAAC